ATCGCCGCGTGGCGACATTCGCAACCCTTCACAGGGATTCGTGTGGTCCAGTTTTGCTCGGGTGTCCAAACGTGTAGGAAAGTTGCTACTTTTCGGCGCGATTCGCAACCCTTTACAGGGATTCGTGTGCTCGTGTTTTGGTCGAGTGTCCAAACGTATGGGAAAGTTACTACTTTTTGACGCGATTCGCAACCTTTCACAGGGATTCGCGCTTTCGCAACCCTTCACAGGGATTCGGGTGGTCGACTGCCCAAACGCGTGGGAAAGTTGCATTTTTGAGGCTGCTTGTAATGTCCACTCGTAACCCTTCACAAGGATTCGGGTGGTCGAGCGCCCAAACGTGTTTGCAATTTTTGAATTGCTTGTGTTGTCCACTCGCAACCCTTCACAGGGATTCGGGTGGTGGAGTGTGCAAACGTGTGGGAGAGTTGCAATTTTTGAGCACCTTGCCGAGATCGATGTACTTGACTTTATGTACTTCACTCTATGTACTTCACTCTGCGTACTTGACTCCATTTTAGTAAACCCCAAACCCTAAGCCCTAAACCCTCAGCCCTAAACCCTGAAGAGTCATAGAGCCAAGTATACATGTACAAGAAGTCATATTAGTCTAGTCCAGTCCAGCGCATAGAGTCAAGTACATAAGTCAGGTACACAGGTACATAGAGTCGTAAAATCAAGTACGGGTATATAGAGTCGTAGGGTCAAGTACATCTTTACAAACCACACAAGGTCAGGGGGGAGGGATGATAACGTCCGTGTTCGACGCGGGCAGCACGACATAGCACGACCACATCCAGTAGTGGTCTGCCAAAGGACAGGGGGGGTGGGACGAAGGACAGGGGGGTTGGGACGGAGGCCGGGACGGGTTTGACGCGGGCAGCACGAACACATCCAGTGGTCTGCCAAAGGACAGCGGTGAAACACTGATGTTACACATCCAGGTGCAGACTGTCTCACGTATCACTGCATGTATCCATGCCTGTTGCTCAAGGTTCTAGCAGAGTACGCCTGTAGTAAAAGAGACTCCTGTGAGCCTGCGTTCCTGTACGCTTTGCGAGGGGATACACGTCCAGGTTACATCTCAACGTGGTAGCGGAGCTCCCGTGAAAGTTTAAACCCTTATACCAGTATACTTCCTATAAACACGGCGTGAGCTTGGATTCTTTTCTCACTACCGAGCTCCGCTGTCGGCTGTGCTTGAGCCTACGTTTGACCTACGGAGACACGCAGTGAAACGCGGTAAATTGGGCATGAGGGAAAATTGAACTGTTTGTTACGCCCTCATCACGTACACAGCTTTGTCGTGTAACGTGATCCTCGTGAAACTTTTCCCTACACTTTCCACTGTTCTCGCATGCTTCTTTGAGCTTCATCCTTGACTTCACAGGTCAAGTTCCCTTGTCGCACGCTTCTTTAAGCACTTTGTTGAACATCTTTGGCCTTCTTGCTTTCTTCTTCATCCTCAATCTTCAGATGTCCTATAACAGATTGCGAATTTCCATTCCACACACGATTGACATGGACTCACTCAAATCTACATGCACACTCACTTTTTATTCACGTCGCTTTCCGCGATGTAGGTCCATTCTTGCTCTTCGGCAATCTGGAAACTTGTTTTGCCTTCTTGGCTTTTGGACTTCTTTCGCCAGTCCTGCATCGGCTTTTCAGCCTTGTAGACATTGACTTTTGAAAAATCGTTGTGCTCGTAGTGCTTTGACGTTGCCGTGGGACATTGCGTCCTCGTGGCTTTTGCTGTGTCGTTGCCGTGGGATCTTTACATCCTCGTGGCTTTTGTCGTAGCCTCTCCAAAGCTTTTGTTGTGAAACATTTTGCCTTGGGCACTTTCGCCCTCACGCTTTCTTCCTTTTGCCATGGGCGACGCTTCGCCCTCATCCCGTTTTCTTCTTGCTGCTTAACCGCAACCTTGGTTCACATGTCTTCTTCATTTCGCTTACGTTTTTCAGCGCTTGGCTGATCAACCGGAGATCTGCTTTTCCGCTTTTTCTCCTTCTCAGGCTTCTTCTCTTTCTCATCAGCCTTTTTAGCTTTGTCCTTATCCTTGCTCTTGGACTTCTCGATTGCTTCTTTCTTCTCTTCCTTTTTATCTTCTTTTGCTTCGGCTTTGCTCTCATCACTCTTCTTGTGCTTCTTTGGATTTGGCTCTGAGCCCCAACTGTCCTTTGGAACATAGCCTCTCTTGGCTTGAGCTTCTTCATCATCTTGGATGTCCTTCAGCTCCTTTTGGAACTTGTACTCATTGCTCTTCAAGTAGCTCTTGACTTGGTCCTTGTAGTTGCAGATGTCCGGGGTATGAGTTCCCCATCCCGGATACTTGAAGCTCTTCTGATTGATGTACGTGAAGTTCATGTAGCAAAATTTGCAGAATATCTTCCGCTCACTGTTGCTTTTATCAGGTCTTATCCCATCGTAGTACAACTTCACCGCTCGTTCCATTTCTGGACACTCTGTGGCCTTGTGATCTGATGCAGCTTTACAGTAATAGCATTGTAAGTACGTGCTCTTGCTGCTTGCATCTGCTTTCTTCATCCAATACGGATTTATCTCTCTCTTGGACGGTGGCTTGCCCGTCGGCTCATTTGGCTTCTCTTTTCCACGGTCCAACTTCTCCTCCAGCACACTATCTGGAATCTCTTTGAACCTTTTCTTCAAAGCTTCCTTCAGCTGGATCTGCTTCTCTTTTGTATCCGCTGCCTTTCTTTCTTCTTCTGTAATTCCTTCTTTGTTCCTAAGCTGCTGCGGCACTTTCTTTGGCGTTGGTCTTGCCTTTGCTGCAGGTATTGCTGGGCTACTCTCACTTTGTCTTCTTTTTATCGTAGCCATCAACTTTGCTAGAGCTTGTCGCTCTTTTTCCTGATCTTGATCTGGCCTTGTATACAAGTCTTCTAGGCCCTTGAACTCTTCGCTCATTGTCCTTAACAGCCTGTCTGCCGTCTGGACTACTTCGCCTAGCTTCTGTAGAGCTGACTTGGCATTGGCCGTTCTTTCAACATCCCTTCTTGCTCCTACTGCTTCTTCTTCCAGGTCTCGAACCTCTTTGATCTTCGCGTCTAACTTCTCTTGCATTTCCTGCTTGAGCTTTGCTTCGTAGAGGTCCAACTCTTCTTTGGCTTTCTTGTGAGCTTTATCAGCTTTCTCTTCGCCCTCCGTCATCACTGAAACGCTTGTGATATATTCTTCTATGCTGTCCTCCACTTTTGTCAACAACTCTCGTGTTCTCAGTCCGTACCCAGATGCAAATCTGGACACTGGGAACCTCAACTGTTCCTGCCAGGTCACGAAATCTTTTTCTAGGTTGCTTGTTGGCAGGCTTGCCCTTATTCCTTGGACGCTTGCTGCTCCTAAAACAGTCTCGAATATGCTCATGGTCTCGATCTTAAATCCGCTTCTCAACGCTTGCCGTGCAGCGCGGTCTTCTTCATCGCTGCTTTGTATCACTGCCTCTTCGACAGCTGGCCTTTCATCCTTTTCTTCCTCTTTCTCTTCAGGCCCCTTCTGCTCTTCTTCTTTCGGCTTGTCTTCCTTCTGCTCATCTTCTTTCTGCTCATCTTCTTTCTGCTCATCTTGCTTCTGCTCATCTTCCTTTGGCTTCTCTTCCTCTGCCTTATCCGCTTCTTGATCTGCTTCAGCCTTTATTCCTCCTCTTCTCTCTACGGCTGCTGCCTTCATCTCTTCAAGTTGCTGAACTCTTTCTTCCATGAGTCTTCCTTGCTTTCTCAGTTCTGCTTGGATACTTTCAGGAATGACTATTTTCTTCTTCTCTGCTTCTAGTGCCAATTCTTCAGCGGTCTGCTTGAACGTTTCCATAGTCTCTTCCTTCTCTTCAATCTTCTTTTCTTTCTTCTCGTCCTCCTCTGCTGACTCACTTTCTTTTGACTCTTCTTCGTCGGACTCTGGGTCTGACGCTGCTTCACTTTCTTCCTTCTTTTTCGGCTGCTCTTTCTGTCCGCATACTCGTTTTGAGGGCTGGATCAGTGGGGGCTGGATCAGTGGGGTTTGAAGGCCAAAACCAATTTTCTCAATAGTGCAGTTCAATATACCGACATAGTGTTTCAAGCTGTTGTAGCATTCTTTGTGGTGTGGTGGTTTTCAAGCTCCTATAAATCTTCTTCGTTCTCACCGGGGGAAAATCTTATAGCCCCATTCATACTATAACATAAATGTCAATATGTCTCAACAAATATGTTGACCTCTTAGAGGTCTATAAATTATGAAATCTTCCAATCTCAATATACATATTTGAAAAGGGATCGGTCCTTTCTTCTTTCAAGCGATCTGGGGTCTCACGAGGCTGCGCTGCTGCACCAAAAGGTTTGAAGTCTCCCGGCCACTCTCACTGTGGCCTTCAAGCGAGCCCCAAACCCGGGTGGGCTGGGAGGGCAAGAAAATTTTTCTCTCGCCCTTGAGTAGCAGCGCAGCCAAAGAACAATTCTCAACAAGTCCATGCTTCGCACATGAAAAATTTTCTTCACCACCAAACAAATTCTTCAAAGAGAGCATGTATAAAATCATGCACCATGAGCTCTGGAAAACCCGCACTCTCCCCGTGCTGACCACCCCCCAAAAGAAAGACTAGTCGGCACGCCGAAAACGCCCTTCTTTGTGGTGTGGTGGTTTTCAAGCTCCTATAAATCTTCTTCGTTCTCACCGGGGGAAAATCTTATAGCCCCATTCATACTATAACATAAATGTCAATATGTCTCAACAAATATGTTGACCTCTTAGAGGTCTATAAATTATGAAATCTTCCAATCTCAATATACATATTTGAAAAGGGATCGGTCCTTTCTTCTTTCAAGCGATCTGGGGTCTCACGAGGCTGCGCTGCTGCACCAAAAGGTTTGAAGTCTCCCGGCCACTCTCACTGTGGCCTTCAAGCGAGCCCCAAACCCCAGATCATCTCACGCTCGGTTGAAGGCCTGGATCCTTCCAACAAGCTCTTCAAGTCTCGAGAAGGGTTGCACACAAGATGCTCCGACCGTCACCAAAGACTCCTCTCCTTGGTCTCTCGACGGCGCATCCCCCGGATTGGAGTAGGATGGGACTCTGCAAACCCACCACATGGATGGCCACTCTCTGTCGAGCTCAGAGAACACTCGGGCTAAAGTGTGCATGGCCCAACTGCGGCTGGCGCCCTTGATCATGACACCTCTGGTTGCATCGTTGTCCACCCACCACACTATGCGGCGAGACGACACAAGAGCATTCAGCTGCAGCAGGGAAGCTAGCACAGCAAACATCTCGATCTCGCAGATGAGTTGCTCTCCTACCTCTGCTTTCCAAGATTCAAGCAACTGCAACGGAACCCTTCCTGTGAAGACCCAGCCTGTTCCACTGAAGCAATCATGGGCGGCTAGACCAATGCCTCCAACATCAGCTTCCCACGATCCGTCTGTCCAAAGATGGATGATGTCAGTTATCATCGCACAGCTCAAGACTCTAGGGTTCTCGTGCTTCAGCAAAGAAACGGTGTGTTTACAAAAGTCACTAAGGTCCCTAGGACTAAAGTGCAGACCCCCAACAATCCTCGCGAGAATGTGCGACGCATGCTTCAGCGATCGGCCTGCGTAAAAGCCCGAGGCGTACTGCAACAGGCCTTGGATGACCTGAGCCTCGTGTCGTCGGATTTCTCCTCTCAAGCTGATTTCCTGAAGACGGTCAACAATCCTCTCTATCCTGCCCTGTTTGTTGGCTAAGACTACAGTACCCTTAGCAAGATCTCCTAAACCCAAATGCATACCAAGGACGTCGAAGTCTGATGCAAAGGGGCGTCCTTTCGCACCCGTTTTGCCGTGACGCCAACCTAAGGCGTCCAAGAACGCACTCGCCGTGGTGTCGGCGTTGTCTGCACTTCCTGCCGGCGACATCAAAGGATAATCGTCAAAGAATACAGCACCTGGTATACATAGAAGTTTGTTCATGAGAAACCACAAGGCTCTAGAAACCCTATTGAAGGCATATACCGCTGCAGTACTGCCGAACATCAGTGAGTTCGAGACATATAGGGCATCCTTTCCATCCGATTGCCTAACTGCAATCACTGAAAGAGGTCGGTGACTCGGATGGATAGCAAGTTGTTTGTACTCTTTACTGAGGTCAAGGGTTTTGCCCTTCCACTCCGAGGCATCCTTGTGCGCTCGGCCTTCGCTCACTTCCCTCGCTGCGTGGAGGGCCATGGCTGAGATGTAGTCCGAATCTTGTAACCGCAGGTGAATACTGGAGCTGTAGCCCGCGTTTAATTGGGATTCCAAGCAGTTGTCTATGGGTCTGGGTTTTAGCTCTGCCCCCTGGAGCAAAACAAACCTTCTGATGACTGTCCAATCGTTGGTTCCCAGCAATTCCGTAATCTGGCTCTGATCATAGTAGGGGCCCTCCAAAAAGCCCATGGCCACCTCCTCATCCGTGGCCTCCTTCAAGATCTGTGCCTCCTCCGGGTCTACCCTTTCGAACTTACTCAACAAGGACTTTCGTCTGGTGGCCGCTGAGGCCATGAGCTCCGTCTCTGTCAAGAAAGCGGGGACGAACTTACGATCAAAGCATTCCGGGCATTGGGAAGTCCCGACCAACCTTACCCCTTCCTTTAAGAAACTGATGACTTCGAGATCGTCGTAGCCCTCGGACTTGAGTAAAGATTCCAACGCCAAGATGGATTTGCCGCTCATAACCTTAGCCACTGCCGGGTGCATGGCCTTGTGAAGCTCCGCCTCAGCATCACTGCATCTCTTCACCTCCTGCTTCACTCGCGCCACCGCCAAGTTTCGCTTCAAGACTATGAGCCTCGGGTCTTTAGTCAAGTTTTCTTTCAAGGCAAACAACGTGGCTTTCTCAAGTGGGTTTGAAGAATCTACTGGATGAATGACCTTCTTAGCCTCCTCTACAAACTGTTCAGGAGTCCTGTATACCCCAACCCTAACCCGGTCACCAACCTTCTCAGCTGGATCCCGTGAACTAATTGGGGTATTGGCCTCCGAGATGGTCCCTCTCAAAGGGGTGTTACTGATCGGCTTTGAGGCCTCTGGGATGGTCCCTCCCAAAGGGGTGTTAGGATTGGGCTCAGTGGAAGCTCGAAGCTCCTCACCCCCGATGCTGCGCAAGAGCTTCAGGTGTTTTTGTGATTTAAATGCAACGGCCGGCATAGTAATCACAGACTGGTATTCGGAAACCAGCGGCTGATGACGCTTGTTTTGTCGGCCCAACATGGCCAACGAGAGGTCCTTAGGGGATGGGCGACGACAGAGGTTGAGGCCTAGCGACAAAGCCTTGCGCTCCACACAAGAAGCGAAGCGAGAGGCAAACAATGCTGGGTAAGCTGCCTCATCCTTCGTGGCATACCGAAGGGATCCAAACTCAACAATTTGTCCCCAAGGTTTGTGCATGTGCTTTCCATCGCAAAGGGCACGCAACGGCTCGAAGCAGCCAGGCGTTGCAAGCAACTTTGTGCGTTTGGGGCGAAAGCCCCCATGGCAGCACAAATCAAAGATGACTGACTGCAGTCTGGGAAGGATACGGTGAGCAACCCCTTGCGGCTCAAAAGCTTGCAACACCTCCCATAGGAAACTATTTGCGGGATTCTCAAGACTGACCACTATGTTGTGCTCCAGGCAATGTCGCAAAATGCGATATGTGAAGGCATACAAACGGTTTGCCAACTTTACACGAGTGGCCTCAACTGACCCGGGCTTTAAGGAGGGCAGGCCCACTACTCCTAAGAGGTTGGGGTCCCGGCTGTCCATTGTACAAAGGTCTGCCTCTGGCCTTGCTGCTGGTCCCGCATGGGGCACCCAAATGTATTGCGAAAGGGCGCTGTGTCTCAAGAAATTCCCAGAACAAAGCTTGCCCTGAGTCTGTTGCCAAATCAAGCTGCGAGATGGGCACATGAGAATCGCAATGATGTTGGTCGAAACTGTGGACAACGAATCCGCACTGCATCAGGGCCCGGGACAACAAGCCTTTGCCTGCGAAGACCTCAAACACCATGGGTGGCCGTTCTCCGAGCTGCGCCGTTTGCACAGACAACGGCACCTCAGGAGGTAGCACGAAGTTCAAGTGATGCGCTGCCTCCACATCCTTCGGTTCTAATTTTTCAAGTTGCTGCACGACCCAAGTGATCAGCACAACTCTTCGACCTGACCAAGGTTCAGTTTCGTGGTATCTAGACCAAGCGTCAAAGATAAGCGGCTCGTCCTCAATTTCATGAACCGCTCCAACCAGCTCTTTAGAATTGAAGACTCGAATATCCTCCCCAGGGCCCTCTATCCACAAGCCCCCCTCCTTAAAATCACTCAAGCGAAAAACTGCATTGGGCCACTGTGCGTTGCGGCCGTCACGATGCAAAGGCGTGAGACAGTCTGCAAAAATGCCACATGTGGAGAAAACATGACCTGGAAGACGCTCGTGCACAAAGCGGGTCATGACACGACTTGCATACGGAAACTCTGCACACTCCTTACGCAACCCACGGAATCCACCTTGGGAATAACAGCCGGTTACGAAGGACTGTTTCACGTCCCTCTGACCCTTCTGAAGATTTCCCTGAGGGAGCATATCAAACAAGGTCAGGAGATCAGCACTTGAGATTTGGCCCGGTTTACTCAAACGGGCCTTGGACCACCCCTCAGCATCGGGGACCAGCAGGTCCCCAGTTTGCAATGCGCCCCTGTCGCTCCCTCCACTGATGGGCGCACTCAATGGAAGGGACCTTCAGGCACCAGCCTTCGGGCAGCTGGTGTATGGATGATTTCCGAAGCAGCCCTTTTTCCAACACTTGTGGTAGCCCTTTATGCACCGGCCCTGCTTACAGGTATTCTTGCATCCGTGCGTGTTATAAGCGAAACACAAAGGCTTATTGGCATCATCTTTGGTCACACAACCCTCCGGCAAATCTAACTTTGAACCTGTCGCGACCTTTCCCTTGTTCCCCTTGTCCTTTCCCTTCTTGCCTTTGCCATCTCCCTTGGGAGGGGTCCAAGGTACATGCGGGATTACAGGGTTCTGCAAGGGTGCCAAATACTGCATGATGTCAGGGCTCCTAGACAGTCTACTGATCTCCGCGTCCAAAGCAGGGGCCGCCCCTGGCGAGGCCGTTAAACGTCCCATGAGGTTGTTGCTTGCAAGAATAAACATCTGCTTATCTGCCTCAATGATTTGCGAAAGCATGACACCCTGAAAGCCCTTCGGCTGCGTTCTCTGAAGAACCGAAAACAAGAATTGAACATGTTCCTCCATGACCCTGAAGCTTGCAAGGTTCGCCAAATCGAAGGCTAATGAGCGGCGACTCCAAGCCTGGCGCAACCTCATCTCTGATGAAACGTCACATGTCTGATCGGCAGATTTCGTTGCAATATTTAGGTTGTTGTCGGCATCGATGTTTATGCTGCTGTCCCTTTTCAAGCACTGTGCTTCCTGCGCCCTACTAATCCACTTGCTGGGAACGTGATACTGCAACACACCTGTTTCAAGCATTTCCACGCACAGGTCTACACACGAGTTGGCTGGCCGGGTTTCAGGAGTGAAAACCAAACCTCCCAGAGACCTCTCCTGCATAGCCTGCCTATCCAAGCGTTCCGCCGCTGCCAGCTTCTTAGGATGTCCTTCCACGCCGGGCTCGATGCGGGTGCGAACTTCTTCAATCGCCATGCTCACTCCTTCGAACAGGAGCCGACGGAGGCTGGCTTTCTGAAAGCCAGACGGTCTCATGCCCAATCCATCAATCCAGTTGTCCACTGCCTCGTCGGTGAGGGTCGTTGGTGTAGCCGACACCGCAAAGGCCAAGCGGCCAAAGGTGTTGAAGCTGTTGTTCAAGAGTCCTGTAAGGGTTTCCTCGGACAGTCCGATCTTCCTAGCGCGGTCCAAGAAAGCTGCTTCCGAGTCAAGGTTCGCAGAAGCCATGACACACCCAGATTCCGCGATAGCACGAACAAAGAACTGACAGCTGTCCCCCCTTGCACTAGATAATCCCCTCATCAGAACTTCAATGACGCATGACATGTTTCTCTAGTGCGTTCAAGCAAGACTGCCTCGAACAGGGTAGGAAGAGCCCGAAGGCGATCAAGATCTTTGAGATACGCCTTGCCTCCCGTGCCGTAACCGTGCACAAAGGCAGGCCCAATCACTGTGGCATCCTGGGGCAGCCGCTTACTCATGAAGAGGCCAGGTCCGGGCAGACAGCCTACGCGGCACAAGGGGCTGCTGAGAGCGTACAGCGTGGAGTTGGCACACTGCTCGTGCGCTCCCCTGGCCCATGCGAGCGCTCCAGGGTAAGGCCTCAATATCGACGTTAGGGGTTCTTGTGTGGTGGGGACCCTGCAAGCCGCCGTGTACGTACCATCATCATCAGGGCTCCAATAGAAGGCCTGAATCAAGAAGCCTAGGTAAGCCCAAGCCGTCGCCACATCACCGGAGTGCCTTGCGTGCGCTCCTGCCAACGGCGTCCCGGCCGGCAGCTCGGCTTGGCGCCAGTCCGCCGCCACTGTACTGCGAGGCAACGTGGGGAGAAGAGCGAGGTTGGCAAGGAGCAGTGGGACCACCTCGGCTGCCCAGTCATCCAGCAGCGTCGCTTCTAGCCGCAGGTGGTCCTCATATCTGCGAAATCCATGGTCTCCCCGTGGGCTTCCGTGGGCACACTGCCGTATATATTCGGACACGGCCCCGTTGGAGCGCCACACACGAGGAAGGAGGCCAATGTCCCAAGGGGCATGACCAGGTTGTGCAGCAAAGACCGAAAAGCCTCCCTGTGCATCCGTGGAGGGCTCGGACACAAAGATAACTCCAATGGCCGCAAGCTCAACGACCCCTGTTGATGATATGGGGCAGGGTGTACCTGGCGTGCTGGTAAGTGGGCACCTCCGCCGTATCCGTGAAGAGCCAGAGGGCTTCGCACATGAGAACACCCGGATCCATAATCAAGGGCAAGATCGCCCGCGCGAGTTTGCCAAGAGCAAGGGGAAGCATGACATTGGCGAACGGGGTGTCCAGTCCACAGCGAAAGAGTATGAGATCCCCCTGCACGGTCAGTGGGCGAAAGCCATACCGAGATGCCCATCCACTGTCAGGCGCGACTAGCGAGGAGCGTCGTACCCGCAGGTGACTACGCTGTTCCGACAGTATGCGCTCGACCACCGCCACACAATGCTCACCCGCCTCCTCCGTCCTCGCGGTGACGAGGATGTTACTGTCCAGGTGCCGTGCCACGAAGACATGTCCGCTATTGAACATCCCGGGGATGCTCACCTCCAAGCACAGCGCTGAGATTACCGGCGCACCATGGATCAGCCGATGCCACTCGGCCGTGCTGACCGCCGGTCCCGAGTAGGCCTGTCCACGGACCACCTGCACAACCAACATCCCGTCAACTGTCTGCAAGTGGATGCCGCTCTCGAGCATGAGGCTTTGCTGAATCACTGCTTGAACCAACTTCATGTACAGCGGTTTGGGCCACCGCCCGCCTGCCATCCCTGTGTGATAGAGCCGTGCCCTGTCTGACGGCTGCAAAGTCGTGCTCAAGGGCGGATTCGCCGCCATGGCAGAACAGAGAGCGCACCCAGTTGGTGGCTACAGGCGAATGCCCGAGCCTACCTCCCCAACCCCACTGAATTCCCGAGTTTGAGCATAGATATTCGCAGATTAGGAAGTACAAAGGGAAGCGCCCAAAACACACACATCGGTGCAGAGGCGAGTTTTTACATCGCCGTTCAGTCGAAGGTCGGCATTAGTCACTCAGGATTTTTTTTTTGGCGTGAATGGGCCTCGTCGGCTGCGGCTGCAGCACTCGGTCCCTACAAACAACCAAACCTCAACAAACAGACAAACAGCGGTGAAACGAAACTAATCAGAGGCTAGCGAAAAAGAAGACGCGGCGCCCAGGCTTAGCATGGGTGAGCCGTTCAGCTTAACTACGGAGCCTCAGCGACCGATCAGCAACAACAAGTGGCCGTCGCCACAAGCCGTCCAAAACCACCGGTGGAGCCCGAGTCCAGGGCTCCGGCCGCCGTTCTAGTTCTGTCGAACAACGGACAGCCCCGGGGTTTTGTTGCGTCACGATCGTGCACACCAAAGTCCACAAGTCCAAAGTCCACGGTCGGGCTACGTAAGGTGACGGCACCCAGGCAGTGAGTGGCAAGCCGAAGGTAGCAGAAGCGGCGTTCTCGCTCTTACTAACCGCAACATATACCGATGGTGACGCGACCAATGCCAGGCAGTGACGACGAAACTACGACAAAGCAGAGCCCAAACACGAGGCCGTAAGAGAAGCAGCGTTCTCGCGCTTACTAACTGCAACCTTGCAACCTGTTGAGAAAAGGCACAGACCGAAACAGACGTTAAGAGGCGGGCATGCTAAAGTGGCAGAAGCGGCGTTCTCGCTCTTACTAACCGCAACATTCACCGAAATGCCGCGACCAATGCGCGCGACGACAACCGAGCAACGACACAGCAGAGGCCAAACCCAAGGCCGAAAGAGAAGCAGCGTTTTCGCGCTTGCAAACTGCGACCCTGCCCCGTTGGGAAAAGGCACCGCCCGATGCAGGTGTCAAAAGGCAAGCATGGAGGCGGGCGTCCCAGAGCCACCGATACGCCTACTTAGGCGCCTCCTGCGAAACAAGCCGTAGATTTTTATGGCTTTGGCTATGATACCTCTTCAGCAGGTTTACGGAGCCCCCACCCTAGGGCAACACAGCCAAGGACAGCCGTTTGTTTGAGAAGCTGAAAAACCTGTCCTACATCTTGACTAGCACTGTGCAGCGGCCTAAATTTTTAAAAGGGCTCAGCCAAAGGGTAAGACGGGTACCCAACCCCTACAAAACGCAAAAGCTCTCGGCAAAACCTTATTTCCATCCTGCTGGGTCACGAAAGTATTTCGCAATCCAGTCTCGACGGTGTTGGAAGCTTTGCGGTGTGCAGCACAGCAAGACCTGCCTCTTGACCTGTGCGGCCCTAACCTTTGCGGCAGCGCGACCTGACCTCCAACCTACCTGCGTGCAAGAACAAGCCCTCCTGACCTACCTCTGCGTCGAGTGAAAAAGTTTGGCCTTCGAACCTTTTGGAGAAACTGCGAAGGCACAGGGCGCCCGATCATGCTGCACAGGCAACTGAGCAGGTGACAAGGGTGGCTTTACCGGCAGGCCACCACGCCGAGCGTTGACTGCGTGAGTCTCGTCACCCAAGCACAGAGAACCGTTCCAAAGCGGGCACAACCAACCCCGCAATCGCACAAGCAAGCCCCCCCCAGAAGCACCCTGGGCGAGTCAGGGACGGGTGCCCAACCCCTACAACGCGCCAAAGCTCTCAGCAAAACCTTATTTCCATCCAGCTGGGTAGCGATGGTAGTTCGCAATCCAGTCACGATGGTGTTGGAAACTTTGCGGCGTGCAGCACAGCAAGACCTGCCTCTTCTACAGTTGGCTGTAAGGCGAGACGTGGAAGGCATGTTCACAGTGCGTGTGCGCTCAAACGCAGATGGCGGCGGCATAGGCAAACTGAACAGGTGACAATGGTGGCTTTACCGGCAGGCCACCACGCCGAGCGTTGACTGCGTGAGTCTCGTCACCCAAGTACAGAAAACCTTTCCAAAACAGGCACAACCAAACCCACAACTGCACAAGCAAGCCCCCCCCCGAAGCTCGCCTGGCGAGTGTTGGCCTCCCAGCTGGGATCTCAGGCTTTTGGCTATGACTCACCCTCTGCAGGTTTTGGGATGCCCCACACTTTGGCTATACCAAGCACAGCCGCTTCAGCTTAGGGGGTTAGAAACATGCCCTAAATCTTAACTAACCCTGTGCAGCGGCCTAAATTTTTAGAAGGGCTCAGCCAAAGGGTGGGACGGGTACCCAACCCCTACAAAACACAAAAGCTCTCGGCAAAACCTTATTTCCATCCTGCTGGGTCACGAAAGTATTTCGCGATCCAGTCTCGATGGTGTTGGAAGCTTTGCGGCGTGCAGCACAGCAAGACCTGCCTCTTGACCTGTGCGGCCCTAACCTTTGCGGCAGCGCGACCTGGCCTCCAACCTACCTGCGTGCAAGAACAAGCCCTCCTGACCTACCTCTGCGTCGAGTGAAAACGTTTGGCCTTCGAACCTTTGGAGAAACTGCGAAGGCACAGGGCGCCCGATCATGCTGCACAGGCAACTGAGCAGGTGTCAAGGGTGGCTTTACCGGCAGGCCACCACGCCGAGCGTTGACTGCATGAGTCTCGTCACCCAAGTACAGAAAACCTTTCCAAAACAGGCACAACCAAGCCCACAACTGCACAAGCAAGCCCCCCCCGGAAGCTCGCCTGGCGAGTGTTGGCCTCCCAGCTGGGATCTCAGGCTTTTGGCTATGACTCACCTTCTGCAGGTCTTGGGATGCCCCACACTTTGGCTATACCAAGCACAGCCGCTTCAGCTTAGGGGGTTAGAAACATGCCCTAAATCTTAACTAACCCTGTGCAGCGGCCTAAATTTTTAGAAGGGCTCAGCCAAAGGGTGAGACGGGTACCCAACCCCTACAAAACGCAAAAGCTCTCGGCAAAACCTTATTTCCATCCTGCTGGGTCACGAAAGTATTTCGCGATCCAGTCTCGATGGTGTTGGAAGCTTTGCGGCGTGCAGCACAGCAAGACCTGCCTCTTGACCTGTGCGGCCCTAACTTTTGCGGCAGCGCGACCTGACCTCCAACCTACGTGCGTGCAAGAACAAGCCCTCCTGACCTACCTCAGCGTCGAGTGACAAGGTTGGGCCTTCGAACCTTTGGAGAAACTGCGAAGGCACAGGGCGCCCGATCATGCTGCACAGGCAACTGAGCAGGTGACAAGGGTGGCTTTACCGGCAGGCCACCACGCCGAGCGTTGACTGCGTGAGTCTCGTCACCCAAGCACAGAGAACCGTTCCAAAGTGGGCACAACCAACCCCG